CTGGTCAGGCCGACCCTTCCTGTGTCCAGGCCTGACGGTCGGTGGTCACAGCCCGACTTGTCCCCCTCGCTGCTAACTGGGCTCCTGTAGTGAAGTTTGGGGCAGCCCCCAGAGACAGGACATTGCCATCAACTCCCACAGCGGCCCCTCTCCCACCTGGTGAGCCCTGTAGAAAGATCTTCCCACACCAGCACCAAATTCCAGAATTGGAAAAAGCTGGAGCAAGAGGAGCTGAGCCGTCTCCTGTTTTGCCACGACACAGCCTTGGGAGAGCAGAACTGCCCCGTGCAAACCCCACTGCTCCCAAATACAATCCCAAATCCCCGAAATGAGTGGACCACAAGAGCCCAGGCGGGGAATACCAAGGCTGCAGCAAGGCATCGCACCCTCTCGAGCACTGCCAGGGAGCGCAAAGCAGCAGCTTTGCAGCTGCAACCACAGCACCACCACGGGAAGCATGGGCAACGTGGCACGCGGGCAGCTTCCCAAAAGTAGAACTTTTATTGACGGTAAGAGGAAAACTAAAACCGAAGACAGCCAAAAAGGAGCCAGCAACATACAACTAGCCCCTCCGTATGGGTCTGACACATCCCGGGTAAGGAGCTGCTCCCAGTCAAATTCCCATCACGCAGAGTTTCGTGAAATAAAAAAAAAATAGTGTAAGGTTAGAACACCTGCAACCTTCGGCAGCAGCGGGTCCCGGAGCGTGGTCCTCGGGCCTGGCCTGCTCGGTACAGGGGAGGAACAGGGCTGCTCACCCCTCACTGCTGCGGAGATGATGGCACTGAAGCCAGGACCTGCGTTTCTCTGTGGAAACCGCTTTGCTTTGTCTCCCGAGTTGCTGCCATTCTTCAGGAGCATTTACATGCAAAAAAGATCTTTGTTTCTTAAGATCTGCTGTTCTTGCTCATTTCCTAGCGAGGGGAGGCTAACCAGGAGCACTGGGAAGGAACAAAGACCCTGCTTCCATAGAAAATCCCTACTAACAAAGCAGGAGAGAGGAAAGTGTGTGCAGCAGGAACTTTCCAGTTCAAACACGGCTCTCTGCGCTGGCAGTCGCTCTGCAGTACTGCAGTGAGCTGCTTCTGACACGACTGAAGTTATCTGCATTATTTGACCCCTCCCAGGCCCCCCCAGTATCTCTCCCAGCCAGAAAGAGACGTGTGTCTGGGAGGTGCCCGGGATGTCAGTGTGACGTCTCTACACGATGCATTCAAAACAAAAACATTATTATCAGCTCAACAGAAATCAGCTTCTCTGTCAAAGTTTCAGCACACTGAGGGCAACTCCAAGCAACAAAGGAAGAAGGAGCATCGACCTTCTCCGCTGACCTCTGCTTCCAAGCAAGTCCACTGTTGAGAGCAGAGGGCAGGCAGGCAGCACGGGGTGCAGGCAGAAAACCTCTCAACTAACGTTCAGTAGAAACACTATTTATTCACCCCTCTTGGTTACAACTGGGCAGGGTTAAGCGGATACGGAGGAGGATGCCATGCACTCCTGGCTGCTTCGCGTTCTCCACCATAGGAGCAGCTGCTCTTGCAGCGTTTTAGCCCACGTGTCTGTCCCGCGCTCGGGAAAGCTGCCGTTGGCTGGCGTTTCGCTTCGCAGTCTGATTTAAAAAAAAAAAAAAAAATCAAAACTAAATAAATATTGTTCCAAAAGAAGCCAGAGGAGAGAGCAAGCCTTTGGTATGACAGCTACGTTTCTCTCTGGCAAGACCCCGAGTCCCAGAGCCTACGAACACAGCCGGGGGTTGGCACAGACTCCGCAGAGCCCGTTACACACGAAAACACGGAGCAAACAGCAACAGAAACTTTTTGAGAACTCCGGTTTGCTTGTCACAACCCCCCGTGACTTTGCTTTGTGCTCTCAGGACAAGGGGAGGTGACAGTCAGGGTTTAGGAGAATCCAAATGGAACAGGCTCACTCCAGGCCGATGGTCTGCACTTCCAGCTACGCTTGCTTCCTAGTATGTGCAGTGAAAGACTGCTGGGCACGTACAGAGTCGTTCGACCTCGTAATTACTTCGCTGAGCTCCCGAAGTGGTGAACCAGGGCCTGGAACGCAGAGGGCGCTGCGGCGTCCCTTCCTATGATATATATGTATCGTCTACATATTTAGACCAGCCCTGCCAAGTCTGTTCATACGCTCAGGTGCATGTCACCAAGAGTCATTTCCCACCATCTCACAATGTATAAAACAGGAGTTACGGGGCTAAGGGAAGGGAAGTTGTTTTCAACTGTTCATTCTCCCTTCCCCTTCCTAGAGAAGAGAGAGGTTACGGGTCAGGTCCAGCATGGCCTATCGATCCATCTCATCCAGCAGTGGCGTGGCGTCCCCAGCGATGGACATCGGTGTGCTCTCGATCATGGGGCTGGGAGATGGGCGAGGAGTCAACCTCTGCTTCTGTTTCCTCCGTTCGGCCTCCTTCTCCTGGAGCCACTGCTCCGCCATCTTCCCCCAGTCGATTGCAGCGTGACTGTTGGTCCTGCAACGACAGGGGCAGGAGGTGAGACATGCTAGTGAGAGAGATTCCCTGCCCTCCCTCCCCAAGGGTCCCGTGAGGGAAGGTGCAAGGCAACCCCACCACACTGGTTCCACAAAAAAGAAATCAACAAAAGCAATCCAGACAGGACACAGACGGATATGCAAACCCGGCGCTGGAGCCACTCACTTTGGCTGCGGAGCTGGACGATGGCTGCGACTGTGTCTGGGACTGGGTGGACTGGGGTGTGGTGTTGGCCTGGAGCTGGTACTGGGGTGTTGTAATCGGCTGGCTGGGGGTAGTGTAGGAGTAGCTGGGGGTCATCAGAGGGGTGGCCACTGGCTGCTGTGCTGGAGTTGTGAAGACCTGCAGAGAGCAGATACTGTTAGGAGACAGAGGGCAAACTCCACCAGGCTGCAGGGCAGAGGTCTGGCATGCTCTGCGCTGCCCTGCCTGCCCAGGAGGCTGGTGCACGCCCGGGATGCTGTTGCACGCCTTTGCTGCACGCTCACAGCCCTGCTGGAGCCCCTCATCTGGGCAAGGAGAGGTCTGCAGTGACCATTGCCCAGGGAATGAGGGGCTGCTGGGCAGAAGGAATAACACCTTGCTGAGCAGAGGACGTTTGATCCCCTGAGAGCCCCTGATTGCCCACCCAACCTGGTGGGCCACCACAGCCTGCCTTCCTTTTTCATCGCGCACAGGGTACCAGGGAAGATGCTTAAGCCAAGCAAAGACAAGGACTGTAAGAGCTGGGCACAAGAGATGCCTGGGACAAGCTAGCAGAAATGACGTCCTGCAGTGGGGATGAATGCTGCTCCAGCGGGTCGCAGAGAAGGCACAGCAGCTCCCGAGATGGCTCCCTCCCAGACCCCAAGCTGGCTCCTTCACTGTTTGCCCAACAGAGTGCTTAGTCTCTTTGCCCTCCAGTGCTCACCTCCCTTTTCCTTCAGATCGTCTCGATGATTAATATGTTGGGTTATCCACAGTCCCTGCCTATCACCAGCTCAGTGTTTACCGTGCCAAATTCCATGAAAGCCTCCCAAGGTGGTCTAAAAGAGGATCACTCCTCCCTGCAAGCCTTGTCTTGCAGCACCTCTTCATTAGGTCTCCCTAACAGCTGGGTGCGTTTCTTGTACCCAGGCACCTCAGTCCTTCTGCAACTGGATTTAGCCTCGGGGTCAGCTGGGGAGCTGGAAGGAGGCAGGCACCAGCACACATGAGGAAAGGCTTCAGCGTGCGCTGAAACTGTCCAATTCCATCTTATTTCCCGCAAAGCCTCGGGGAGTTCGGTCAGGCTGAGGTGTTCGCCTGCCGGTGCAGCTCCGAGATTAGCACGCTGAGCTGAAAAGCCCTGCAAACTCAGCGCATAGTTTCACAGCTAATCTCTTCCACTGGCAGCTCACGTTGCCAATTCAGGGGCACAATCAGAAGGTTGTGCGCCCTCACCGCTGGATCCCACCTCTCCACCCTGCCACATTCCTTGGGGGCCAGACCAATTCGCTACTTGTTTCCACTCCCCCCAGTGCAGAGCTGTATTACATTCCTCATTTCCTCAGCCACAGCAGGCAGGAAGAAACCCGGTTCAAGAATCCAGCCAGGCTCCCCTGTGCAGCACCATGGGTACACAACTAGGACTGGATGGTCCCAGGGGATGAGCAGCCCCTTACACTCCCAGCGGAGCCCCCATGAGATGGTTTCTAGCAGCAAGGAGAAGCCATGCAGCACCTCCTCTTAGAAACTTAGGTGACACCTACGTGGTATGCGCTGCTGCCACCTCCGCTGCCTCCGTAGCCGTACTGACTGGACGCCCACTGCGCAGGGGTGGCATTTGGGTTCTGTCCCTGGCCTGTCACGGCAGCGATGGCACTGAACATCTGGGAGGTCATGTTCTGTGGCAGAGCGTTCACTGCACGAGTCAGGTCTGCAAGAAAAACTCATAATGTCAGACGAAGAAGAGCCTGGGGAAGGAGCTCGCATCCTGATTCCACACAGAAAAGGCCTGCACTGACCTGCCAGGTTAATGTTAGCTGGAGTAGCATTAATGGAGGCTGGAGTCCTGGTCCGACTGCTACTGCTGGGGGTAATACCTGCATAAATCATAAACCGACAGAGATAGATTAGTGCTCGCAGAAGAGCTGCTATTGGCCTGAAGCACAGGATTTGAAAACAAACAGGCAACACTTGTACTGGCAAGATGCTGTTTTACCATCGAATGGTGTATGAGGGTTGTACGGTGGGGAAGGCTAAGGGAGAGGCAAGGGACAAGCCCAGCCTTTGCTGCATGACCCACTTGGCTGAAAGATCAACTCTCAGGACAGCTCTCAACCAGTTCATGGAAGCCAAACATTTGAGCATTGCTTTGAAACTTCCCACTTACAACAAATAGTTGAGGCACTCAGGTTTTGGGATGCTCACCTGGAACAGGGTCTTGATAATGATCCTTAAACCATTCGGTAGGGAAGACCTGGCCCCGGTAGCGGAATCCTTCTGGCGTCACTGTCACATACTCTATCCTGTGAGGAGCGGTGAATGCAGGAAAGCACAAGAGATGACAGGCTGCTTCAGAACCATACCTGCTGCTGTTCCACACCCTCACACTAACAGGTCACAGTCAGAATAGACAAGACCGACAAACTCAGGTGATGGCTGTACTGATAACGAACAGATAGACCTACCCAACCCACTTTCATCCTGTTTTCAAACAATTGCTGCAGAATACCATGTCTTTCCATGCAAAATCTACCAATCGCTGCCTATATACTCCAGTGACACCTCCTGCACAGGGCAGTACAGCTTGTGGCAGCTAGCTGGTTAGAAACACGGAAGCCTCCTGGTCGAGATTTACTGCTAGACATGGATCCTCTACTGTCAGGAGGCCAAACCCTGGTAAGAAGCTGACAGAGAAACTGGCAGCAATAAGCTGAGGTGTGGTACTGGCAGTACTCAGCTGCTGGGCTTGCCTCTCGCTTACCTTGGTTTGCCTCGAGGCTGATATCCCAAGAGGAATTTGCCAGGTAGATCTTTACAGGCACTGATAAAGTAGGGAATAAACGTTGGCTTCTCTTTCTTGGTCTTTATCAGCAGTTCTTCCAGCTTCTAATTAGAGAGAGAGAGAGGAAGAGAAATGCTCAAGGAAAGCCTAGATTTTTAGAAACACACAGGGCCTACAGATAGCTCCCTCCATGCTGCAGTCAGCCCTTTTTGTCCTCAACTCTGATGCCAGCAACCCAACAAGGACCACCAACTGTAGCGTTTCTGCACACTGTTGGTGCACTAATGTCACCAGGTCACAGAAAGCCAATACTCTCCTTTCAGTGACATTTGCTGGCAAGGCAATTTGCTGCTCTGGCACACTACAGTAGCACACCATACTCCCATGGTTGTCCTAACTCCACTGCTCCCGGACTGATTCCTCCTGAGACCTACAGCTGGAAAGTGACTGCTAAACCCCAAGCAACAAGGGGAAGATCAGAGTGCTCAGTCCAGCAGCAACTCATGCCAGACTCAAAGAATTTAAGAACCGTCTTGAGAAAAGAAATCTATATTATAAATATAATTTATGTATCTCCCACACGAGCTACCACAGCCTGGGACAGGCTCACCTTCTTGTCTCCACCATTGCAGTCCTGATAGTATTTGTGATTCAACAGGTCTCTGGCAAAAGAAGCCATTGGCTGGACATAGCGAGCAACAATTTCATCCAGGTCTTCAAACTCCTTTGAACAAACACATTTAAAGAGGGTGAATAGTGAGGAGCTCTGATTCTAGTATACAGCGCTCAGTCATACATTCTGCACAGTGAGGCTGGCTGCTTTGAAGACAAAAAAAACAAATAAACAACGCTGAGTATTGTCTAAGAATCTGGAGAACTGCAATGGAAGCAACTCTCTTAACAGCCTGAAAGCAGCCACAAGGATGGAAAGGCTGTGCCAACCTGTCCCTGCCAAATAGGTACTTCTCCTTCCCCACCAACTCCTTCCCAGGCACACTCCACGGGGCTTTTACCTCTGTGTTAATCCAAAGCGTGGAGCCCAGGCTGAAGGCGTTCTCCTTGCCCTCTTCTCGGACATCCACGTGCTGGTAAATCCCATCGTTCACCTTCCAGGTGACAGTCAGGTGGTTCTCCCCTTTGCTACTTGGCCGAATAATCACATCCCCTTGGTCCATGGTCTCCATCATCTTCTCAGCTTGCTTGAAGCTAATGTTGTGGAATGATGGGTGAGCAATTACTCTCTTGATGTAGGCTAGAGGACAAAGCAGAGTGTTTAGGCTTCCAACAGGAACTACTTTAATCCAAGTATATGTCTAATTGCACTTATTCTCCTGAAGCACCCAGGGGAGGCTGGCATTACAAGGGAGAGAAAAATTAGAGACTCACTTGTCCGCTGCTGCTTTCTTTTCAGGTCTTCTTCCTGTTTGTGATCTGCTGCCTCAGAGTCGAAGTCGTAGTAGGTGTCTTTAGGCAGTTTCCACTCGTTGTTCTTATCCATCAGGTCTGAGGTCCTGCAGGTCAGGTCTGCACTGAACTTCTCAATGTCGATCTTCATAATCCTGCAGTGAACAGTCATTCCCACCTACAGGAGAGAGGCAGGCAAAGCTGATCAGCAAGTCTGGCTGATACGCCAGGCTCCCTGAACTACAGAGCAATCTGTTGGGTCACGTTGCCAATAAGGAGGTACAAATTACCTCACCCACTTCAGACTGATACAACCTTTAAAAGTGATCCTTCCATACGAACCGAAAAATCAACTGATCCCCATGATGACTAGAATCGAGAGAGATTAGAGGAAAAATGGGCAGTTCTACAGCATGTCTACTAGCTTTGCCCCATACCACACTGCAAACTGCATGTCTGGAGGCTGAGGACAATTAGGTTTGATATTTCATGTATCTTTAACAACAGAAGCAGCAAAATTGGACTTCATGATGTGCAAGAAAGCAGTTAAGTCTGTTCAGAAAAAAGTGGAAGACACCCAAAGGACTGCTCTAATTAAATGGGAAACAGAAAATACCACCACAAAAAATGCAATGTCTTACTCCAGTTAACCATGCTGAAGTTAACGACTCTTTAAAGAAATGCTAAGAGACCTTTGAGCTTACAGGATTATCCATCACCTGCATGGACTGTCAGGGGGGACTCTAAAAACCAGCAAAGATGTTAAACCTCTATTTTAGCATGTGATAAAAATATGATTCTGTTTCTTTCAGAACCTCAATCCCTGTTTTAAGCAAGACCAGTAACTCTAACAACCTCCACAAATTAATTCAAATAGAAGAAAAAGCTATGAGCGAGGGAAAGTGACCCTTGTGCACCCAACAACAGTTCTGTGAACTCTTTAGCAAAAAGCCAGAAACAAAGGGCAGCTCTGCATTAGAATGCCTTCTGGTCTCCTAAAGCCAGCCTTTAGCCAGACTACAATAAATCCTCCCGCAGCACAACATGTTAACTGATTAACATGGTTCTCACCAGCTGCCAAGAGATTTGCACTGTGGGAGAAAGACACTAACCAGAACCTGAACCTGCTGCTGGTTTCAAGTCCTGAAATGAAAATAAGGTTTGAAAAGTCATTTATTAACCAGACTCTGAATCTTTGGTATTGGTTCCAGGCTCTTTTAGCTCTTGCTGGATAAGTGAAAATCCACTGCTTTCATACCTTCACCCTTTCTTCTGGCCGCTTGACCACCTTATCACTAAGAAATTTTGTTGGGATGAAGCCAGCGACGCCGTTATCCAGACGTGTCTTCACTCCAATGGCCTGACCTGGGCAGGAACCGCTGTCAAAGTGGTTCCAAACCTTGAGCAAGGCAAAAGTGAAAGTCATTCAGCATGGAAACAAAATAGCCTCGGCAGCTCACACTCAAGTCTAAAAGCTGTGTCAGCAAACTGGTGCAGCCAGCAAGGACCTGTGGAAGGGCAGGGGACAGGGGACTTCAATGAATGCTACCCAGTAATGCAATCTTCCTACTTCGGTTCTGCTCAGCTTATGGTGCTTTGCAACCATGAAGGTCAGAACATTTTTAGACCCTGAATACATGCCTGCAGCTAGGGCTGGTTTCTAATGAACGCTATAGGGTTTTAAAGTCATGGATTACCAAGGCTGGAATTCAGCAGTGTTTAGAAGGGACCTAAAGTACAGCTGCATTAAGCAGCAGGGAGTCCAGATAAGTTCTTAAAACTGAGAAGGTGGCAGAACAACCATCTGTTCTCAATGTCACAAGCAGTTTCTCTGCGTAAAACACATTCCGAGACCACAAATAAGCCTGCTTTATGTATTTGCAAAGAACTGGTCAGCTCAGCCCCAAGTCCCTTTCGCTCCTAGTCCGGTTCACCAAAATCCATAACGCAGCCACAAAAGACCTGTCAAACCTATATTGAGGCAATGAGTCAAAAGCAGAACAGATGGTATTTGCAGCCAAAGGACACGTTCAGATTGGGATCCTGGGGCACTGCAGACACAATCTTGGCTTGGATACCTTGTCTCCCAAGAACCCTACAAAACACCCAGGCCTGCAGATAGCAGACTCCTGACAAAGGCAGGTCCATTAGGAGAAGCAGCCCCACCTCGCTGAGCTCTGGAAAGTTATCCTGCTGACAGAAAGGACACTGCCAAAGGCCAGTTTCGTCGTTTCGTATCGCCTGGTCATAGCTTTCTCCTTGTGGTCGCCTGTGGGCTATCCCGGTCACATTGCAGATGATCATTTTACCTGTGGTGTGATGGGACAGGAGAAGGAAAGAATGGAAAACTGAAAGCCAACTGCAGGGCTGGGCAGTTCCCTTAATCTACAGCAGTTGTGCGTGAAGGCATTAGCAGACCACTCAAGTACTTGAAAAGCTGCTTCACATACAGGCAAACATAGCACCATTCCAACACTGCCCTCACCAAGATCCCTCTGTCCCACCTTTACACATCCTAAGTCAATTTAGGATGACAGAAACCAGGGATATAAACAGGGATGTACCTATATAAAAAGTCTCTGGAGTTTCTTTGGTCAGCATATTGAAGACCTCTTCTGTGTTTGGAGAACGGTATGGGGTTCTCAGGTCCTTGTACCTGCAGCTTAGTTCAGCTCGAATGTCATATAAAGTGATATGCTTGTCACCATAGCCCTGTGTGTATGCAAAGGGTACAAAGCCATGAGTAGCGGAAAAGAGGTCCACAGAGAACGTAGTATAAATTATGAAAGAACTCAAGGAACTTATCAAACAGAAGTTTTTTTTAAAAAAAGGAGTAATGCACAGGGTACCATCAAACCGTGGAACTCAGTCACAGGATGTTGCGGAAGTCAGAAGTACCAATATATTCAGAAAAAAGATCAGTTCAGGGAGGACAGTTTGAACAGGCTAATTACTGTCTCCTGCCTCCTCCTCCCTCTGCCCCAAGTGCACTTTCTGTAAGCATCCACTACATGCCATTGTCAGACACTGAATACTCATTCATGGCTGTTTATACATTTTACAACGGCAACAGCTCAATGCTCAGCTCCTAAAAAGGATACGGGCCACCAGCTATAAAACATAAGAAACCAAGCTGGACAGCGGAGCTCTCCCTCTGCTTCTCAGCACCAGGAACCTCAGCACACCTGTCTTTCCAGTTCTTCAGCAAAGGCATCAAGATCCAGGTCTTTCAGACGCTCGGGGTTTTCCAAGATCTCCTCTAGAGCTCCTGCAGGATTAGCGTCCTCCGCCGACTCATCGTATTCTAAGGCATCCACTGCCATTTTTCTTGCCCATTCATAGGTTTCAGGATGGACCCTAGAACCATCTAAGACTTCGATGTAGGAATCAGTACTGGAATAAAACCAAAGCAATGTTCAGATAAGGGCTCTGTCACCTCCTTCAGCTCGATAACAAACCATGCCGTTGAGCACCACTACTGGCTGCTTTGCCACTGCTGCCCTCAGTGGAATAAACTACTATGAAAAGGACACAACAAATTCTTCTTTGCTAAATCAAGATGAGACAAGGCAAGACATGACAAATTCTGGTCTGCAGCTCCTGCACTTCAAAGATGCAGCCAGCCATTCTGGATGCTATCTAGATTTGGTCACTCTGTGAGCACACAGCTCTTCACAGTTTCTCTCCTCATACAAATTAAGTGACGCCAACCGGCAGAGCAGCCATCTGCATCCAGCTGTTTGGAGGAATCTACACTTTGCCACCTGCATGTCTAGGATTTATATCCTTCAAGAACCAGGCACCTAGTGGGGTCAGATCACTCAGCGAAAGGATTCAGCCAGGTGTCCTTTTCCAGACCGCTTTTCAGAAGGCAAGAAGGATACTGTGCCAGCCCTAGAGAAAGCACATTTCCAAAAAGTGACCCTTCTGTGCAAAACAGCTAGAGATTTAGAAACTAGGTTACCACTCTTCTCCAAACACACATCTCTTGTTTAGTTACCAGCAACATAATGCTCTATAAACTTCCCGGTATTGCTACTAGAAAAATAAAATATGGATGCTAAGACTAGGCAGAAACTGAGCAAAAGTGCACACAGTTTACCGACGGACAGGCATGACAACTATGTTAGGGAACAACTGGTTTTAGTTTAGTTCCTCTTGACCACAAAGGGTCTTTCAAACCATAGCAAGCTATATAATTAATGTTCTGCAGCTCACATTGCTGCACGAGTTTAGCTGCCCTTAAGAATCAGATTAATAACCAGCAGTATCTGAACTTGGCTGGTGATCAGAGGGGCCACACAGAAACTCCTGAGAACACGGACTCCACGGAACAAGACTGCTTCAGCCTGTCGCCAACTCCATACCCCGAACGACATGGAATGCAACCCAATACCCACCTATCGCCCAGCGAGGCTGTGTCAATTTTGATGAAGCCAGCACAGTTGATAAACACCTTGGGTCCCATGTGACACATCGTAACCAGCTGGGTCCTGTTCTCCAGACGTGTGTTGTTTTGTTTTAGGATCTAGAGAGAGGGGTAGTAGTATAAACCTTGCTATTCAAACACAAGGGTTCTCCCAGAAGAGCAGAGGGCTCACACCGGACACTGCAGTGTTCAAAGCACCTGACATCATCAAGCCTATCACAACTCATAAATCGTTGCCCCCTGCCTGTGTCTCAACATTGTTTGAAAGGAGATGATTCCACATGGAACAGCTCCAACTCTCGGGAAAAGCATTGGCTTTTTGCCTTGTGTTTTCTACAGCATGGAGGCGTCGATACTGTAGCAGTGTATCTGTTCCTGTGGGTTCAGGAGCAAGCTAGGATTGATGGATCTGCTGAGTTGCTTGGGTCTATCAAGGACAGAAGTCCACACACAGCTTTGGGGTTAGGCACAGTGAGATAACACATACTAAAACACACGTCAAATGGAGCTGTCGGCTGCAGCTGGCACACGGGACCCTGACTCAGCTCGTAGCAGCACTGCCATCAGGCCAACTCGCACGTTATCGGTGATGCGTTGTTTTTGTAGGCAGGGACAGAAGCCTCCTTACCTTTAGCAGATGAGTGCCTTTGCGTGGTCCCAGGCCACACACGTACTGCAGCAAAGCCTGGCTGTGAGGGTGAGCAATCGCCCGATTGACATCCACCCCCACCTCGTTCACACGGTTTATGAATTCGCAGTAGAGGGCATTCAGCAGTTCCTCCTTCACCACGTGCTCCTGGCAGAAGGGAGAGGCGTTAGCCTCACGAGGAGATGTGTGCAACACTTTGCCATAAGCAAGCGGAGCCAAACACAACACACTGGCTCCCAGAAGCTGTACTGCATCTCAGAGTAAGCCCTGAGAACAGCCAAAAGGTAGGAGGCAGAGGAGCTAAAGAAGGCGATAAAAAGATGCCGTGTAGCCTGAATAGAGAATCATAGAATGGGTTGGGTTGGAAGGGACCTCAAAGATCACCTAGTTCCAACCCCTCTGCCATGGGCAGGGACACCCTCCACTACACCAGCTTGCCCAAAGCCTCATCCAACCTGGCCTTGAACACTTCCAGGGATGGGGCATCCTCAATGTAAAAAATTTATTCATGATATCTAATCTAAATCTGCCCTCTTTCAGTTTAAAGCCATTGCCTCTTGTCTTATGGCACAAAACCGGCAGAACTTGCACCAGTTCAACTCTGGATACTTCTCTTTCCGAGGCCACTCTCTCTTGCAGAGGACAACCCCCCCTGCCCAAGGATCTCACAAGCAAAAGTTACCTGCAGAGGGTGGAGTTTTAGGCAGAGAATATCCTCATCGGAGCTGCAGACCTGGGCAAACTCTATGAGGGGGTCCTGAATGCGGCGAGCGAGGGAGACGGCTTGACGCAGCAGAGGCGGGTAATCCCGGAACTCGTTCTGCAAGAGGCCAGAGGTCAGTGAAAACCCTGACGGGGTTTTCACACTTTGTAGTACAAATAGCAAAGACACATCAGACAGGGACAGGAACAGGGGAAGCGTTCGGTGCTCAGGGCAGAGAGCTGAGGTCAAAAGCTCCGAGGAACTCTGTTGCAACTAGGAATGAAACAATTCCATCCGCTCAGCTAAGCAAGATTCATTTCACGCTACATCAAAAATCTACTTTATACATCTGCTGGTGCTGATCTCTTCAGGGGAGCCCAAATAAGATGTTTTGCCTTCATCCAAAGATCAGTATGTCACTATCTAGATGGATCACATGAGGCGGCAGATGACACAAGGCAAGGCCAGCACAACAAATGGAGGATGAGAGAGCATGAATGAGTGACAGACTAAGGAGTAGCTGGAATAACAGAAGGTTCACCTCAGACTTCTTGCTGTTCATGTAGAGGATGGCCAGTTCATTGTCCACCAGCTCCACTCCAATAGAGGACAGCTGCTGCCCTTGATCCAGCTCATGAACAATTCTCTTTACATCCTCCATCAGCATCTGAGCATCCCTACGGAGAGACAGCCAAAGGGACTGAGGAGAGAGCGCAAAGCTGCGTCCTGGAATCACTTAGGGAGATAACCCCAATGGGTTATTTCGCACCACGAACAGAAACAGTGAAATGAGGACAGGCATGAGGAAAGGACTGCAAAGAGAGACTGGGAAAGGACTGCAAAGAGAGACTGGGAAGTCAAAGGAACAAAAAAGACTGACCTGTTCTCCCCTGCAATTGTCACCACATGAGGCTTCTTGTTCAGGAGGAATTTTTTCAAGGTTTCGATATCCTGGGCCTGGAAAGGAAAGTGAGAAGGTGAGAGTAGAAAAGCTAGAGAGTTTCTCTACTGAGCTAGCTACCAGTCCTGGGCTCCTATTTCACAGGGCAAATCCTTCCCCACTGCCACACTGATCTGCCACCATGAAATGAACGTGGCTCAATGCCTTTTCCACAGGCCAGCCCTGCAAGTCCTGACCAACACACGGACAAAGAGGAAAGCTCTGCAGAAGCAAGACTGGTGGCATCATGTTCTGGTGTTACAGGAAATGAATGCAAGTAGGGAATGGAAGCCAAAAGCCTGCCCCAAGCTCCAGGAGGTCCCACAGCCTCTTGCTATTATAATGTGACCAGGGAAACGCAAGAACTTTTCTGTAGCTGGGACCACAGAAATTCACAAAACCCCAACACCAGCAGAAATCAGGAATGGCAAGGCCCTGACACTCCCTGTAAAAGGAGCAGAAGAGATGAATTGGAATCTAACTGGAAGCAACTGTTTTGCCAGAATAACTACAGGGTGGGAAAAAGCCAGTATTCTTGCACACCAGAGTGACAAGACCTGGGCTGTCTTCGGACTGACTATTCCTCTCCAGCCCCACAGTGGATTGAACAGTACCAAAAGCAACACGCAGACAGTCATCTCAGCAATAGCTGAACCAAGGCTCACCTTCTTTTCCCTCTCTTCCTCACGCCAGGCATTCCTTCTCTTTGTGAAATGCGGCAACCGGAGGAAGTCTGTAACCTCACCCTCTCCATTAACAAGGGCACAAAACACGGGATGGTCCCTGCGAAACAGAGACCACTCAGACATGGAGGACTGCTTAAGATGAACGTGGATCCAGAGGCAATTCCTTTCCTCCTACCTGGCTGAGGAAAATGCAATGCCTAGCACCCGAATCCCCTTCCCTTGGTTTTCATCCATGAAATCATCATCTTCCTCCACTTGCTGATCAGGACGGTACGAAGCTACCTTTAGCCAGTTGTACAGCTTCCGGCTGCAAGACTGGTAGAACAGAGAAAGGGAGAAAGGAGTGAAAATCTACTGCAGGTGCTTTGGCATAGCCCTTCTCCGGAGGGAAGGTCATGGACTGCTCAAGGCAGCAAAACAGTATATTCTGCCAGGATTGGGACCAGCTCTTCAGAACCATGGAACCCTTCTCTCTCACTGAGGTACCTGGTCTTCTCTCCATCCTTGGGAAAGGACCAGACTCAGACCCCTGCCTGTCCCCTGCTCCTTCCCAAGCACCTGTGTATGGCCTGTAAGTAGCTCTCCCCAGCAAGCTGCAGGACTGCATTTGTAACCCCAGCTCTGGCTCAAACCCACCTGTCTCCCATCTCACCTTGAGGACATACTCCTTGGCCTCCACCAACAGCTTGTTCTTCAACTCTTTAGCCATCTGCACATAGAGGAACTGGTTGAGGGACCGCTCAATGGCCATCGTACGCTGCCGATTCCACTCCTGCACCTGGTGGCTGAACTCATCCCGATAATAGAACTGTTTGATTTCCTCAAAGTACGTCTGGTCACTGCCATAACTGCAAGAAATGAGAGGAGGAGATACAGAAGGGCTTCAAATGCCTGCATTGACATCACCACTTGCCGACTCCCGTACAGGGATGTAGTAGCAGCACCTCAGATTCGGGGAGCTGCCTGGAAAATTTAGAGAAGAGCCAATCCTCCCATCAAACACTCCTCTAGCTGCAAGAGCTATGCTGCTAGATCGATCGCAGCTGAACGCCACGCCGGCAGCATGGAGAGGCCTGATCAGTGCAACACAGGGCAGCCCAAAGCCACTCCAGCACACTCTTATTGCACAGTATGGCTACTCAGATGTGCAGGGAAGGAACCAAGGAGCCACACAGTGAGGGTGGCTGGGAAACAAGCACCACCTTTCACAAAAACCTTAAAGCCTTCAGAGTTCGTCTTCAAATGAATGAGACAGATGTCTGCTAAAGTTTTCAGTAAGAAGAAGAAAAAAGCAAGACCCTGAGAGGCTGCTTGACTTTAAGGTGCAGGAAACCACCAGGCCATGACTTCCAGGATCAGTTTGGGTTACAGAGGAGCTCTAACAGCATGGCAGCACTAAATGAATGAGCTCTACCAAGGCATGGATGGCACGGCCCGCAAGGACTCACCCCTCCACTCCTTTCATGTCGATGCTGATATCTATAGTGAGCAGTGCCTCGTCCTCTGCCAGGCTCATTTTCAGGAACTGGTCATCTCGCAGCTCCTTCACAGGCTTGTTTTTCAAGTATTTAAAGGAATAGGCGTAGTGGGCCTCATCAATATCCTGGGAGAGAGGAGAGACAGTCAGCATGCAGGCAGGGCATTCATGAAGAAAGACCCTTCTGTGTACCGTAGCAGACAATAGTTTTTATTCAATACTCCCTCACCCCCATGCCTGCCAGTCTGCATTTCCTTCCCCAGCAGGACACAGTGGAATTCGTTCCCAGTCCCAGAGAAACACAGACTGTTCCAATAATTGAAGGCAACATGTCAACAGCAAGAATCAGGTCTGATGAAACACTGAGACTAAAAATGCAGCATACTGCTGAGCTGGCCTCTGCAACAGCCCAGCTCACATGCTGCTCTGTGACTTATTCAGAGTTGCCACTGTCATGGGAGAAGTCTTCAGATGCGAAAATGAGCATTTGTATGTTATTTAGATCCTTCCCTGAATTGACTCACAGAGTCAGAGCTCCCTTCCTTACCTTCTTCCCCTTTTTGGTTGGTGAAATGTTGATTTTAGCTCTTTCTTGGAAAGTCTGTCTCAGGACCTGTCTGACCAAAGGCTCCCTGGCAATCTGCAAAGCTACCATGTACCGGGCTCCCTCCAGCACAGCTTCAGGGCTTGGGAATTGACTAAAACCAAAAAGGCAACATGAAGGCTTAGAATTTGAGAACGTCCTCGGATCCCCTCCCCTGCGTCACATCCACAGGATCTCCACAAAGATCTCCCCACACTGACCTACACACATAATCCTTGGCCAGCTCCAGGGGCTCTGCAGGGAACTGCTCTGTCTCGTGACGCTGGTAACTGTCTCGGAGATTCTCTCCGAACTGCTCAGGTGTCAGACCAAACTTCTTAGCCAGGCCATCTGGGGAAAAAAAAACACAAAAACGATGAGGACAAGGATACTGTAGCTTATACTGTGCAAAACTACCAGTCCTCCTCTACAGGTAAGCCAGACCACCCAGAAGAGCATGCAGGTTAGGCTACTGTGCCTGACAGCACAGCCCTTACCCAGCCCAGCTGTTTGACAGATGGTGTACATATCCCGACGGGAAGCCTGCTTCAGCTCAGGCCCTTTCTGCTCATCATCTTCTGCATCCTCCCCTTCACCTATGAGAAGGATATGTTTAGCAAGGCCTCTTTGCAGAGGCGCACAGACAGCTGCAGTGTGTCAGAAGCACAGCAAAGGGATGAAACACAACCTGTGTTGTGCAACAGAAGCCCTACATTCCACAAACACATCTCAAAGGTAGCCTTAAAATTATTCTGAGTTAGAAAAACACCCTGAAACCACTATCTTCTCTTTGGTTTCTCTCTTTTGCAGCTTCAATAGCAGTATCTCTGGGTTGCACATTAAAATCCACATCAAGGTGGCTGATCCTTGCTTTGGCCCCTGCCATGAGGGGTGGCATTCAGTCCATCGGAAAAGCAGCACCTTGTGTGGCAAACTAAGAATTTTCAGAGATGCCTGGAAGACCTGGGACTAACTTGAGACAGAATTGAACAGCACAGATGCTCTCTGCAAACACATGGGCTTTTCAACAAACTTTCTTACTATTCTTTTGAATCAGTCCACAACCAGGAGACTATCAAAACTGGGGACAAACCTTCCTCCTCTTCACCATCCTCTCGGATACGCTTTTGCTTCTTTCGAGCAGCCTTGGCAGCATTCTGCATCTTGGGGATGTCTCGTCCATAGTACAGCAGGAAGTGATTATACACGTCCTTCAGCTCGTCCATGGACTGCACGTCCTTCAGCCTACGGCATGCAAAACCAGCATGTTACACCCTGCTTGCAGCTGAGCTGTGGTCAGAGCACTCAAGGAACTTGCTCTAGTGCAGGTCAGGCAGAGGGAGGACTTGGGCTTATATTCTTGAAGAGTTTTAAATATTTCTCATTACTGGCTTTGTGGGGAGGCTAAAGTCAATGCACTGCAGTGGCCAGACAGTCTACGCTGTTTGGGCAAGTTAACGCGCATTTTAAGTTGTTTTGGAATGAATATAAGAAAGTCATGGCACCATACCTCTCCATGTCAGTAGTATCCAGGGCCCTTATTCCATCTGCCAAGGGCTTGTCTGGGTCAGCAGAGATTTGTTCGTACTGATAGGCCTGCATCTTCTCAAACAGACGAGTCAGGTTCTGCTTGCGGATCTTCAGCTGGGTCCACTAATATGAGAACAAAGACTTGCAGTGAAATGCTTCATAGCTGTGTGTCACATCTGACTCCTCCCTTCCCAAACAGGGGCTCCCAGGATCTCGGGATATTTGTCACACAAAAATAATCATCAAAATCTTCATCCACAGCCAAGCCCAGATGTGACACACGTGGCAGGTCTCATCTCAGAGATTGTATTAACAGATAAAAAATAAATCAAGGTTTGGATCAACCTGATAGCAGAGAAAAGAACCTGCACTCCTTGCAGGAAAGGTCACTACACAAAAGGAACTCAGTGAAGAGGAAGGACTGTTTTGAACCCTCTTTTGTCAGATAACCCTTTACCACCACATGATAGCAAACACGAAAAAAAAATACGGGTAAAAGCAGTACACACAACCTCCACAGGCAAAAGAAAATTTGCTGAAAGTATCAGGCTAGGTAGGGAAGACATGTTAAACCCTGGTGAGATAATAAGCAGTGAAAACACTTCTCACCTTCTCATCCCACTGCCAGACCCTCCACAGGTCATTGATGTGCAGCTCTGGCTCCACATACTCCTTTCTGTAGAAGGCGATGAATGGGACCTGGGTCAGAAATGACATTTATCACCTCCAGGTAGGAGAATGGGCTGCTCCTGGCAGCCAGGAGTCCAAAGAGAGCTCCTGTTCCATGTGGGAGAACAAACTAATGGGGCAGCAGTGTGGGAGATGTACAAAACCATGCCTCAGCTCTTCAGATTGTTCCAACAAAGAGTACATCACATAGACCAAAGAGCTTCTCCAACATCAGGCAGCACCTTCAAGAACAGGTTGGACCAAGCAAGGCTCAGGATACTCTGAAATTCCTCCACCTCATTTAGCATCAATTTGTCCAGGATCAGGGAAATACGATGATAGCAGCCCCATTAAACAGGCCTTAGAAACCTGCGTTGCCACAGCTCACTCAAGACAAGCTGCACTTTCCAGTGAAGCACCATTTTGTCACAGGGGAGGCAACCAGATGTGGTATCTCAGCCCCTTCTGGTTTGCTGCCCTAAATGCTTCTGGCAGCCCCTCTGCTGATCCTGCCTGGGTAAGGAGACAGCAACTCAAGCCTTATCTTGGCAATGAAGCCGAGTTGTGAATTACCTCAAAATGTTGATTTCTCATGAAATTCAGGGCTTCTTTAATCTTCTGGATGGTGCTGGGCCCCTTGCGGCTGAAGCTGCTGCTGGCTTGTCCGCGATCGAGGTAGTCGGAACTTTCCTAAAAGGAAACACGTTGTGTTGATCGTATCCCTGAGATGACTCCCAAAAGACCAGCCCAGGCTAAGGCTGGAAAACAGTGGTCCTTTTGTTAGCTGGGAACGCAGGCTTAGGTATATGCTCTGATTTTAGATCACAGAATGGCATCCTAGCCCTGGCTGGCTTAAAGGAAAAACAGAGAAGCAGCATCTGGCCAAGGTAACTGATGGTTAAAAGCAGATCATGGCTAACACTAGTTTAGCCCTAGGTGCCCAGTGGCTCAGAGATCTTTCAATCCTTCTTGACAATTATTCTTGCAACTTCTCTGCGATCCTTTTTGTCTTGTTTTACAGATGCGACAATAAAGATGTGCATGTTAAATGACCTGCTCAAAACCAGAAAGAAAAGTATATTGGGCACCACATTCCTCTGAGCAGACTCCAGGAGCAACGTCTTCAGGCTGGAAATCTGCAACACCTTCAAGTTCTCTTTGGACAGAAGTCCCAAGCATAGTCCTTTACCTGCAAGGAGATGGTGGGTGTTGCAAATGCATTCCTGTAAATCCAGTCAGCTTCTTCCTCCAGCTCGTCATCTTCAGCATTCTTCACCGGGATGGTTCGCAACTGTGAAAAGACAACAGGATGAGCAGAGGCATGTGCAACACCAGGGCTTGTGTTACCATGTCTTTCAGGAAGCCTGGAAATTATTGGTTTGAGCTGCAGGTTGTTTATGGGGTCTCAGTACCTCCCACACCCACAGGGCCTTGCTGAGGATAGTGCTTCAATGTTTGCATCTTCCCAGCACATGGTAAACCTGTGTCAGCTTTACACTAGGTAAAGGCAGCCAACAATTCTGTCAAAGGCTTGTGTAAAGGCCTGCAATAGTGTGAAATCTTCCGTGACGATCACATCAGGGTACTCCTACTTCCTACCAGACTCCCAAACCTACATCCTCTGCAGCTACATCCTCTGTTTCAATCTTTCTGTGCCCGTTCTAGCCTTGTTATCACTTTTTTTGCTTCAGCCATAGAATAACAGAATATAAAGCAGCTCCAAACCCTCTCTGGGCATTTAGTCCCAGCCAATTCTTTTTCAGAAGGCCTGCTCTAATCATCACTGACATCCGTGAAGATGACAAAACGTCTGAACAGGCCACATACGGCCAGAAGACATCACACACAGCGTTCCCTTGTGCTGTGCACACTGGCATGGGAAAAAAGGTTCTTCTGAAAAGCTGGCAGCTTCAGATGTCCCGTTTTACAAAGGAGGGTAACAAGCTTCTGCACAGAATCACATTAACATACACTTAAGTGAGATGGAAGAACATGGACTGTTCAGCGAAAACCTGATTACAGGGCAAAATTATGATAAAAATACGATACACCAGAATGATTCCTAGGAGCATGACAGGACTCCACACTGAGAGCAGTATAAGTCTCAATCACTTGGACTAAAGTGTGTTACAGAAACATGTTGTACGGAACAGGTACGTGTTTGGCTGGCACATGGGTAGGCTAGAAAACCCTAGCAAATCTTCTCCAGCACTGTAGTTTCATTCTTGCTATCCAGAGATAGAACTCTTGGGATTACTAACAGCATCCAGCACAAAGGACATCTCAGCAGAGCACAGGCCCTGCACCACTCCCAGGAGCAGCAACACTGGCACCCAGTGGCCACAGAGAAACTATGACCAGTGCTAAAACAGAGCTTGCAGAGCTAGAACAGTTCACAACGTCACGGATACGTTTGAACGCGGAGTTTTAGCCTGTATGTCTGACAGGTGGGATCTTCAAAGAGGGAAAAAGAGATGCCAAAATCCAGCCAGCAGCCAAGTGTGACAGCTGACGTGCATGTTCCAGGCCTGCTGTACTCGAAGGGAGCTGAAATGCTTTCTGCCCGCACACCTGCCCCTCTTCCCTCACCTGGAACCTCTCAGGCATGTCTGTCATGCGGATCTCATTGTCCTGGTCCGTTAGGTGACTGCTCTCCAGCTCACTGGGCTCATACATCTCAAAGATGCTACGTCGACTGACACGCTTCTTGGCAGTCTTTTTGGGTCGTACACGGGTCTCCCCTTCAGCTTCTTCATCCTCATACTCGTATTCCTCCTCCATCTCCTCATCGTACTCGTTGTACTTCTCAAACTCATCATAGTCAAAGTCCACACCAAAGATTTCCTGGGCTTCCTGCAAAGCACTGGAAGGCAAAAACTACTGTTCAGCCCCACAGTGCACTTCACAGAGCATCTTTTTAGCCACATAGAGGAGGGCCAGAGCACCTAAGTCTAAGCTTTAGTTTTGCACCTAGGCTAAAAAATCATGGATAGGTACACAACTCTGAGCTTTACATGCAAACACTCCCTTAAGGGTCTGGTTATGGTATTCCTGTAAAAAAAACAAACAAACAGGGGAGAAAGGAAGGAGTCAGACATTTAAGAAATGACAGACTAAAAGCTCTGTGTTTAAATTTAGCAGGTTCCTTTTTTTCCAGCGGTGTCCAACCACAAGCTGAATCACTCTGCAGTTGCAAGAATCAAGTAAACTGAGCACTGTTTTAGAGGCTCCAAGCCAATTTCCAATCAATACTTACGCATCTGTGTATCCAGGGAGCTTCTTTCGCCATTTTGGCTTCTTCAGAGGTTGTCCATCGTCATCCACAATAAAATCATCGATGTCTGGACATTGAGAAACAATTTAGTGGTTAGGACACTCGCAAATTCAACTATAACCTCTAACAAATCTCAGCTCAGCCAGTACAACTATGAGCTTCCACCACAGATTCAGGCTGCCGCTAGCTGTCAGTCTGCCCAGCTACCCACAGCCATCTCCTACACCAACCTCAGACATTCCAGGAGCCTGAACCACAATAAAAAGCTGGAATGAACTTCCAGACACAGGCAGAGCCACGTAGCAACTATCTGCAGTTCAGTGCACTGAAAATGCAGGCAGAAAAGGCCTTGCTGCTTTGGATGGCAGACAGAAAGAACTCTTGAAACTCTTTCAGTATGGTACTAGCAGTGGTGACGGGTTGATTCTGAAGAGGAGAACTAGGGCAGGCATGTGCTGTGCTACTAGGTACTGAACAGTGCCTTGTCTTCCTTCCTTTACAGCATTTCCATTTCGGAGGCAGCTTAGAGAAGACATTCAACATCTCAGCACATGTAATGTGCTTTGGACAATGCAGTTTGGACAGACAAACTAAACCTGCCACTCAGAAACACTCCTAAAGGTTGTACTAATCGGACCAGCAAGAGCTTGACCACAGCAGGGCTACAGCCTTTGGTTACTTATAGCTCAGAGAAAGTCTTAACTTGGTTCCTTTGGTTTAATCCAAGAACTTTGGATGTAATTGACCATCCATACTTACCAGATTCATCTTCCTCCTCCTCCTCTTCCTCTTCTGGTGGAGCAACAGGAGCTTCAACAGCTTCCCCTCCCTCCTCGCCTTCACCATCCTGAAAGATTTCTTCAGCAATGGCTTCCTTCTCATGTTCCTCTTTTCCGTAGTCTTCCTCTTCGTCATCCTCATCATCGGACATTTTTCGCACACGCCTGAATTTTTGCTGCAAGCAAACAGGCTTGTCAGTGCGCACAATTTCTGGCACAGATACTCAAGCTCATTGTGGTCTCTGCCAGGTCAGAACTGTGCTTCCTCTGCAGGTGCCTGAGAGGGAGCAGGATGGAGCCCAGCACAGCACAGGGATGCAGGGGAGAAGAGCCACCCCATCGGGAGCCATGATGCAGGTGCTCATTAGGCACACTGTGTACACAACATAACTGCCTGCTGAGGATTGCACCACGTCCTGTGTCACCTGCGTGCTGTCACCACCAGCGTTAGCCTGGCTTGATATGCCTCTAGGGCTTTAGAGCCTGTAACAGCCCGCACTGACTTTGAAGTTAGCACTGTGCAGGAGAAAAGTATTGTAAAAGGGGCTCTTCTGAGACTGTCTTGCAGAGGTGGGAAGGGAGGAGTACAGCAGACATTACGAACAAGCAGAAAGTGTTTTGGAAACTTTAGGAGTCAGTTCCCAGTTGTCCGGGCAAGGAGAGATCCTGCTTTCTTCAGGCACTCCGCTTTCCTTCAACAAAAGGGCAGGAGCAGACGTGAGGCACCACTCGCTCACTCCAGGCAGACGCCCACCCTCCTTCATGCTAAGAGGCACCACACTGTTAACAGCAGCATGGGAACACAACTCACTCTTTTGACTTTAACACCCAAGTTCTCTTCAATGAGGTCAAAATCATCATCTTCCAGGCGGTCATCAAAAGCTAAGAAGAAAGCAGAGACAAGTTACACTTTCCCTTTACTAATCTGGGAACAGACCAACCAGTGAGAAGGGTACAGCCTGCCCAGCCCACGCAGCACCCAACTCACGCGGCACCCAGCTCTGCTCTCTGTCAGGGCACTGCGAGAGCATTACACTGTGGCCTGCTATAAACAATCATCATAAAACTCACTGCGCTTTCTCTTTTTGTGGCCAACGTCGTCCTCAGAGTCTCCAGAGTCACTGGCTTCTTCCTCTTCTTCCTCTTCCTCATCATCGTCATCGTTAATGAACCCTTTCAGGTTCCCCTGCTCATCTTGATCATCGAGATTCTCCTCCTCCTCTTCCTCATCTAGGGTGGAGGGCAGCAAGCGTTAGACAAATTTACTCGTTGGTTATCTGCCAAGACTCCTTCTTGGCTCTGCGCAAACAACTCACCATCTTCCTCTTCCTCTACAAACTTCTTGGTTACTCTGGGCACAACCTCCCCATCCTGGTTGTACTCCTCCTCCGACTCCTCCGCTTCGCTTTCTACGAAGTCAGACATGGCTGTAGCGTCTCACACACGGCTCTGCAGGAACTGAGGAAAGAGGAAACACCCATCACATCAGCTAAGCGAGCAGAACACAAGCACTTCTCCCTACCGAGTTTTGGAGGGAAGGCAGCTAAGGCAAGAGGGTTTCAAACTATCTGTCGAAGTCTTGAATTGCTTGGCCTAGACATCCCTGTCACCAGAGATTAGGCACGCGAAGCCAGCAGCAAAGCGCTGCTAGCTGCTGTCAACTCGTGTCTCGGCGAGCAGGACAGGACCTGTCACAGCAGCATTTGTGACACAGCCGAGTTCCTGGCTGCGGCTGAAATGGCACACGCAGCCAAAGCCCTTCATCTCGTCCATACCCTTCCTCGCAGCCAGGAAAACACCCCGCGCTGCCACCGACGCTGCACGGTGCTAGGCACACAGTCCAACCACTTAGGAACTTAATAGGATTAATCTTCACTCAGTTAACAAAGCCAGGGCGACCCTGAAAAGGGCCTTGAGAGCGTTGCAGGCTGTTCGCAAGGCTCTGCGGAGTCCCACGGAGCCAACGAGGGAAAGGCCTGGGGCTGCTGCAGGGGCAGGGCTGGGGGCTGCCAGCTGCCCAACTCCACTGCCCCACACAGCCAGAGCCACAGCTGGGATGTTCCAGGTCAGGAGCCTCTGTCCAGAGATTAGGAAGTAACAAGACACTACAGACACGGGATGTTTTCTATATCCAGAACCTTCTGTTTGATGTTTTTCCCCAACTGGGGTTTCTGGAAGCAGTATAAATCAAGCTTGGCACAAAGGAAAGTGTGTGTCCATAAAGACACAGCTCAAGTTCTATCTCTCTCAGCCTTCCACTTCTTGCGGTTACAAAACTTGCTGTCATTTTTAAAATTTTCAAAGCATTTTTTTTTAGTTCCTTTTTACATACATGAAAACAACAGAAGCTGACAAAAGTCAGCTCTAAGAAAAACCAAATCAATGCCTCAAATGGCTGTGAAGATGAAAACCTCAGCCCAGGAAGAAGTACCAGCCTTTGGGAAGGTACAAAAAGCAGCTCAGAGGTGTCAGATCTAAAGTCAAAACCTCCATGTTAAATTACATCTGGTATATTTTAACACAAAAAAAATAAGAGAAAAAGATGAGAAAAGAATTCTATGTGCCCGGGAATGATACTTAAACAAACATGCTTCAAAATGTTCCCATAATTGTTTCCCTATTGCAAATAAACAGCTGAAGGAAATCAGTCCCATATGGGACAATCTGATCAAGGCTTTGCCACGACACTTCTCATGTGCAGGACTTCTTCTGCCCCAAGATCCACACATCTGGTGCACAAACACAACTTAGAGAAAACCAGGGACTTATTTCTCTGTTAGAAGGGAAAAAAAAAAAAAAGTGCAAGGTCGATCTTGGATAATCTTTTAAGTCTTAAAATACTAACAGCTCCAAAGAACGTGTGGGCCGTATCTCATTAAAGAAAATCCACGGCAAAGACAAGGCAAAGCCCTCTGCCAGATTTCAGACACAAGCACGTAGTAGCTCATACTCCTTGGCTGCAAATTACATGGCTGTGGCCAACATCTATCTACGACGCTCCAGAGAGGCAGAAATCGCAGCGGGCCAAGGCTACCGCTCTGCACCCAGACAGGACACGGCTGCTCTGGCTTTGTGCGTGGGCACGGGGTGATGCCCGTCCTTGAGAAGACGCTGTAGAAGTCACACATGTGTATTTAAGCATCACTCTCAAAATAATGCTTCAGAGGGCAGTACAGATGCTGGTTAATATGTGTTCCTGAAGCAAATGCCACTAATGAATTGTGTAATACCTACAGTAGAGGATTGTGTTTACCAGCCTGTGTATGAATATTATGTCAAATTCACAATTTCTCACCATTTCTTTTTCTACACGTACCCACCAGGGTGTATTAACATACATAAAACTGCAGGCTAAGTGGCTTTTCCTAGAGCGTTTCCAGTTCTAGTAACTTCATTTCTCTCCTGTCCATGATCAATGCACAAACCCAGCAAGACGGAAAACCCTCGTCATACCACCATACAAAATTTCACTACCCTCTGCCAGTGAAGCATTTTGCTCCCAATTCCAACTTCCTTCCTCATCACTGTTCTACCATTTCCTGGCAATTTCAGTTCATGTCAAATCAAATCTGTCTGGACACAGGGGAACACCTACGACTTAGGAAACCCATCTCATTTAACGACCCAGCCAAGCAGGTTCCACACAAGCCAACCGCCCACAAAACCAGGTGCTTTCAGCTCCAGTGACATCCACGTCAGGACAGCGGGGATGTCACTTAGGACTGCAAATGAAAGCAAGGGCAGGTATTACCAAGGAGACGTTGAATCAGATGTGGACTAAAGGCACCTCTCCCACCCTCCGCAACAGAGGGGTCTTAGTTTGAGATAGAACAGGACAGGGAGGGAGGCAGAGAGCGCAGCCAGCGCGGGTGGAGGTGCAGAGGTAGAGCTCACACTAGCACCAGTGCCCGGCGGGACCCCCCAAGCAGCCGGTCGCACAGGGAAAGCCCCACTCTAGCAGCACCACTTGTCTGGCCCTGGAGAGGGTTTAAAGACTCCAGACAGAGGTCCAGCTGTATCATGCTACGGGCCTTTCCTCGGAGCGGCACAGCAGCATCCCTGCTCCTGTAACACAGGAGAGGGTCACAGATTGCTGCAGCACAGGAGCAAGTACTAAATTGCACCAAAAAGGCAGGGAGATCACATCTGATCCTGCATGCTTACCTGCGCACAAGCAGACAGGCTCCTATAAGTGATATATACGTATCTTTACCCCAAAGATACCCCAGGGCCACTAGACGCTGACCAAGACGGATCAAAACCAACAGCAATGCAGCGAGCAGCGCCACGACGGCAGCAGGCGAGGGAAGCGGGGGGGCCTCCGTGCCAAGCCGGGCACCCCGAGCACAGCCTCTTCTGCTGGGCAGCAGCACCAGGGCAGCTCGGGGCTGAGCGGTTACATGACCTCTGCTTTTGAGCAGGGCCGTCCACACTTGGATCAGCTCAAGGGTACAACGGCAATTGTCCAGAGTCCGCAGCTCCTTTTAACTGGGATGACCCTGAGCAGACAGCTCTCTCCGCTGTCAACACCAAGACCGTCGATCTCTGATCAGGTTGGCAGGACCGGGCTGGACATCAGCAGCAGGCACCGTGGGTTGTCTCTCCCATTAGGCGAGGCAGTGCCTTTAGAACAAGTGCCACTTTGTGATGGACCTGAGAATTCTGGAAACCAGAGACTCAAATATCTGTAAAGCATTGGTCACGCATCCAGATACCTGCTTGCTGCTCAGGACTTCAAAACATCGCAGTGCTGGGGGCAGACACAGCTTTGTCCATCATACGCCAGCAGAATTCAACTCATTAGGTTTAGAAATGGAAATATGCAGGGAGCACCTGCAAAATATCAGAGTATGTTATGGGAAAAACTCCCGAACTTTACCAGTTTACGGTGGCACTCTGGCAAGGCAAGAGACACAACCGTGTGCAGGATGGCATGGGGAATGACAGTGCCCCACAAGAGGTTCAGAGCCTGAGCAGGTGTGGGGTGAGGGGAACCAGAAGCATCTCATGCTCTCCAGGCACAGAGATGACAACTAAGGCATTGAGACCTCAGCAGTGCTCACAGAATAAACAAGGAGCATCCTCACAGCGAGATACATTTATGATTTAGCCATCAACCTCAGGATATCAGTGCCAACACACAAAACAGCAAAAACAATTGTTAATCCAGGCTTAACTACAGCCTGAGTGCTGAAGAGATGCAAGTTCCGACCTCTCCCCATCCTTCATGGGAGAAACTACATCAAGGCCCTGACCTGATTCTTTTTTTTTGGTTTTGTGAGGGTTTTTTTTGAGGAGAGAGGTGTTGGACAGAGATTGTTTTAACCACTGCCATTTACATGGTTCGACTCACAGTCCACATAAGATCAAGTAGGTCCATGGAACCACATTACCAAAACCACCACTGAACAGTTTTGCTCAGTTCTCGTGTCTACACTTCAAAAAGTCAAATTGGAGAGGATTCAGAAAGCTCTGTGAGAATAAGACAGCTCGGAAACTTGATTCAATTAAAATGTAGAGCCCAAGGAAGTCCAATCTATTCATTTTGTCGATTAAATGCTCATGAAATTAATTCAGCACAGCCCAAGTACATCCACAGGAGTAACAGATTGTGACAATAAACGGCTCGTTAGTAAAAACCCAAACAAACTGGAAAGGTAATGCCACTGTTCCACCCCCTGAAGCTCTCACAATTAAATCAATATTGGCTTTCCTCAAAAAAAAAAAAAAAAAAAATCCATGATTGAGCCGGAACGTGTGGATTTAACACTAATGACTAAGCAATGATCAGGCTGCATCCCACCACGGAATTCAGACAAGATCATATTGGCTTCTTTTCATTTGAAGCTTATGAGGCTAACAGAAACATCCCCGTGAAGCACTGTAAGGCATTCGCATCACAACAAAACACCCTCACGGGCACCTCGTCAGCGCTGACCTCTTCCTCAGAGCCACTCCTTGGTACGGGGAGGGACTTCTACATGCCAGTCCTGATACAAAACTATACGCTGATGATGCTGTATTTAGCTTTTATAGTTGTTTCATGAATTTCTGAAGTCAGGACCTAAACCAAACATTCCCACCCTCCTCAGGGGTAGATGTGCAAAGGAGCACAGGGGCAAAACGACTACTAGAGACGAACGCTGCTGCAACAGGGAAAGTCCAGGCAGCCAGCCACTGCAGCTCAGGAACTTCCCATACCTGCTTCGTTAGTCTTAATGCTCCCCATCGGTCCCACCGCCCCCGACACTACTGGGTGGTGGAACATCCTGTGGCAGAGTGGCACAGTTTAATAGCATGTTGTGTGAAAAAGCACTTCCGTCTGTTTATTTTAGACCTGCAGCATCATAATTTCCTGTAAGAAACAGAAAATTGATGTTTCCCCCTCGCTTTCTCTGACCTGCCTATGACTTCACGCACCACAT